ATAGCAATATTCATATGAAACAATTCATAAATATTAAATTACCTTAAAAATTCCTATATTAAATTACCTTAAAAATTCATTCTAACATTCCTCGATGCGAAATCATTGATGATGGTATCAATATCGATCTCATCCAACAATCGCTTCTCAATGCATAATGTTGCCAAACCATTTAACCTCTCTTGAGACATTATAGATTTCAAATAATTCTTCAACAATTTTAGTTTTGAGAAGCTTCTTTCAGCTGATGCCACAATCACAAGCATAGTAAACAAGATCCGATAAGCAATGGAAGCATTAGGATAACAATCAGCCTTTGTAACAAACTCAAAAATCTCCATAGCTGTCATGGGTGTATCTGGCAAAGTGAATTGTAGAACACTCAACTCGGAAATTAGATCATTTAAATCAATGTCAGATGAACCATTTAGAGAGAAAACTGTTGCTAGTGTTGTGCAACACAATTTTAGCTCAGGACCATCCAATGCCTTCAAGTTTGCTGAACTCATTAAAAATCCAAATAATTCTCTGAATGATTCCAATTCTTGAAATCTAGTCTCCAATGAACGGACTGCCATATCAGTTATAACCGTGAAGTAACTAACTTTAAATTCCTTCTCACCTTCCAAGAGTGCTTCCTCACTATTATTTTCATCAAAATGCTTCTTTCTAAGAGATTACGCTTTCATCGGGAACGATGGCTCGACACCATTTCAGATGCAATTTCGTTGCATTGACCTTACTAGAAGCATACCCATCATTTCTATAGGTTTTAAAGTAATCCATTATGCCTTGTATCTCGCTGCATGGTAGACTCAATGCACATAGATGGTGATCTGCAACTTCTTGCTTACTTTATTGACAGCAAATAAAACATCATGCCAAATAACCATGCCAAATATAAATTCAAAGCTGCCAAGTACTTCAAATAAATTCTTTGCATCACCTCTATTATTTTGGTTCTACATCTCTATCTTCACTCAATGCAAGTAAAGCTGCCCTTAGTCGAGGAGCTTGATATCTAATTGTTGCAACACTTTTAATACGACTCTCCCAAACGTGTTGTTGCACAAAGATTTCACAGTTAAACCATCAATATGATCAAGCAAAAATTTTCATCTTTTAGTAGAACCCCAAATAAGACATATCCGTTGCACAATTCCAAAAAGGAGTACTTTGCTACAAGACTTAGCCATATCACCTCGTGGCAAGCACATGGCATATACAAGGCTCTTGGATTTATATCACGCACGAATCGACTTTGAACTCTTTTGTGTTTTCCTTTCATATTAAAACCATTATCATAACCTTGTCCCCTAATGTCATCAATGTTAAGACCAAAGGACTTAATGGAATCAACCAAAACATTGAAGAGCCCGAGAACCGGATGTGTCATCTACCTTCGAGAAAACCATGAAAGTACTCCTCTATTTTAATTTTACCTTCACTCATGTTAACACATCGAACCAACAAAGTCATTTGTTCTTGATGACTAACATCTGGGTGCAATCAAGAATAATCGAGAAATATTTGGCCTCTTTAACAATCTTGATGATAGAATTTGTAATGTCGAAGCCATAAGAGAAATCAACTCATTCTGAATTTTGTGGCTAAGATAATGATAATGAAGATTATTATTTTGAATACGTCTAAGATAGTCTTGCATTACCAAATCAAACTCTGCGACCATCTCAACACAAGCTAAGAAATTGCTATTTTGGTCATTATAAAGCTGCTCGTTAGATCCTCTAAAAGCCAAATTACGTCTACCAAGGAATTTTATAATGGCAACTATTCTCATCAAGATTTTACTTGCCTCATGCTCTTGAAGTCTGTAACTCTTTATCAATTGTCTCTTGTTTGCCTAATCTAGTTCTCAATTCATTCCATGAGTTCATATTGGTAATATGCTCAACAAGTAATTTCATGTTCCTTCACCTCTCATTGATAACATCTCTATACCCATCATTCCCCAATGAACTCTTGCACTTTTTAGAATTAAAAAGCTTACAGCAAAAAGCAAAATACTTTATCCAAGTGTTTGGAATAAACTAGCCATTTCTGTCACGTAGCTCTCCATTACTCATTTTTCTATGATAATGAGAATATGCAAAATGTCTTAAATTATCGTCGAAAGGGAATACAATATTATCTTCTCTTATAGGCCCCTTTTCAACTAATATATCCCTTGCTTTGTTATCAAGATTATCCCAATTTCTTGGATCATAAATATCCATGTGACACACATGTTCCTCATCAAGACTACTATTTTTTGTAGTATTTGAATTAAATATGTGCTCATCATTACTCACATTGTTTTCTTCCATGTTAATGCCAACATTGTCACCAGGAGGACCTTCATCTCTCGGAATAACTGTGTTGGTTCCTTCCAGACAACTATCGCCAACTCGTTTGGATCTCTTGAAGTGTTTGGATTATTCTTCAAAAACTTATGCATAGAACCCTCTGTGATTGTATGAACTCATCTATTCGTGCTTTTTTTTTCCTTTTCTCACCGCGGAAGCATACTTTCTTGATGACATGATCTTTGTTAAGATTTAGAGAAACAATTAGCTAAAAACAGTTCAGCTAGAAAACATGAATTGAGTAAAAAGGAGTTAAATCAAGATATGTAACAAGATGGGCTTCTAACAGATTAATGACACCGACAACTTGGTCACTTTCTTTAAAATGATAAATTGATAATCATGTTCGTTCTATTGTCTCAGTAATCACGTTCGTTCTATTGCCTGATCTAGACATCTACTCGCGTTGCTGGTGGCTCACCGCGATTCGTCGTCGCTCGTCTAGGTCGGGCGGTGTCGCGGAGATCGCAGCTCGTCGGCAGGGTCGCGTGGTGTCGAGTCCAGCGTCTCACGGAGTCTCGCTTCATTCTCGCCTCGTGTGTGGAACTAGCCTGTGTGTCGCGTCCGCCCGCCTGGAGAGCGTGTGGGCGTGTGGCTTCTCACGGAAGCTAGCTCTTTCTTTCTTGGAGATCGCCTTTTCGGGCCAAATCCAAATACTAATATACCTGCAGGCCTGTATACCTGGTGTTTGCATACTTGGGGTGGGGCCCTATCTAGTTGGGGGGCCAGGGCGGCCACCCCGCTTGCCCGCATCTAGGGCCGGGCCTGCTGACACTTGGCATATAGAATACAATTCCGAGGCTCACATCAAACATTTCATCATGATCTCATCTGGAAGGCGCAGACAGAAAATAAATGCAAGGTACACGCCTAGATCCTCATGCATGGTAAAATTCCAACGCATCAGGAACACTGCGTCTTGTGTAATGGGCCACTGGAGACAGGAGTTCATCTATCTTTGCTCTGTCCTTTCACAAGAGCTGTTTGGGACCGGGTTCTCTCCTAGGAGAATCTCAGGGTGCATCTCCCACAACAGGACCCTACAGGCATGGCTAATTGGTGGGAGGAAGAGGCAAGCAAGATGCCCAAATAGGAACACAGGCGGTTTAATGGAATACTCATTTACATTGTGTGGAACCTGTGGAAAGAGAGAAATAGGAGAATCTTTGAAAATGCCCACATGACGGCGCAGCAGGTGGCCTCGTTAGCAAAAGAGGATATAATGCAAAGACGTAGGGCGACGGCATTTGCTGGGTGAATCCTTTAGCAGGAGGATTTGATCTCTCCTACTTGGGTCCTAGGACCGTCGTGTATTGCGCCCGTGGACGTTATTTGTGGATAAAACTCTAAACTCTTTCTCTTACTTAATTGAGTGACAGAGCTCCTGCCTTTTATTTAAAAAAAAATCCTTGAGGCAGACCATTGTAGTAGCAGCGTAAACTACAGTTTACAGAGCATCAGAACACGGTGAGTAACGGCAGCATGTGAAGCTTGACCTAGCTAGATAAGCAGCGTAGGAAGTGGATAATGATAGTTTCCGGTTGTTATTGGCAACCGTTACTAAAATAGCCTCATTCAGCTGCCTAAACAAGACTAATAAAAGAAGAAGATACTCCTATAAGGATCAAACTCGCGTATCACTCAGAATTCAGAAACGTCGTTCCATTTTAATACAGAATCCACCTGTTTTGGCCTAGCTAGAAGGTTATTTTGACCAATAACATTTGGTTCTCGAAAAGGAGCATCCCTGGTTCCATGCCTGTCAACAGCAACAGCAACAGCAACTGATGAGCAACAAGTTCAGTCCTTGCCTCCTTGCTGGCACTGATCATGCATGAGTATCTATAAATTCCATGCGTGAACGTGAACTCCTCACCAGTCATCGCATCGCACCAGTCGGCAAGTCGCAGTTACAGAAACATCTAGCTTACTAGCAGTAGCAGTCTCTGATCGATCTCTATAAGCAAGTACTATACGGTTCATACTTCAGCAACTCGATCTAGCTAGCTAGTTGGATTCATATTTTGTTGAAATGGCTTTACAGATTCAAATCAAAACTGAAGGAATAATCCGTTGAATCGACTGATCGAGCAGAACGACGCGAGACGACGAGCATCATGCAGCAGCGAGTGAGTTTTCTTCTCCCCTGTTTCTGCAGCAGCTATATATGGGTCATCAGGCGGCGGCGGGGGATCACAGTAGCGCGCACGGCACGGCACGGCACGTACTGGATTTCAATTCAATAATATGGCAAGAAGGGGATCCCGATCACGAATGGCAGCGGATCGCAGCTAACAAATCTACAAGATTACATGCATGCTGCATGCATGGGAGGCGTGGTCTGCATTCCTATGCAAGATTGGCAGCGCATTTACTCTGCATGGGACGCCGCGTCGAGAGCGCGGTCGATGACAGCGAGCGGATTAAATCGGTTTCGAGTCCCCGCATAATCCCCTGCTCCCCGGCCGCTTGATTTGCTCCTCCTCCCTCCCTCCCTCCCTCCCTCTACAAATAAAAAGCCATTCCTTCCTACACACCCCAGCAAAACTATCCATCCATCACAATTCACAACCGAACGCATCCGACCCGAACAGAGCACGTGCAGGCTCAGCGGCGGCGACGGCGAGCGGAGCAATGGCGCCGGTCATCCTGGAGATGGACGTGCACTGCCTCCGATGCGCGCGCAAGATCCGCAAGGCTGTCCGGAACATGCACGGTACGTACGTGCAGCGTGCTCCTGCTGGCCTGCCGGCCGCCGTTGTTCTGCTTCTGCATGCGCAGCGCAGGCTCTCACGTCTCGGTCGTCTCACATGCATGGCTTGGTGTGCAGGGGTGGAGGACGTGCGGGTGTCGGTGGGCACGGGGCTGGTGGTGGTCAAGGGCTCCTCCCTCGACGCGTCGCTGCTCAGGTGGCGGATCCAGTCCAGGACGGGGAGGCCCGTGGCTGTCGTCAGCGACGGCGGCGCGGCGGAGGAGCCGCCTGCCGGGCAGATGCTGCACTTGGGCCCGACGCCGCCGCTGGCCGGGTACTCGTACTCGTACCCGTACGGCGGGTACGGCGGCGGCTGGCCGGCGCCCGCGCTCCAGTACGTGCCCGGCGGCAACGTGCTCCCGTACGACGCGAGCCAGTACGGGATGATGATGACGAACGACGCGCCGCCGTGTTACCGCGACGACGGGCCCAGCGGCTGCTGCACCATGCAGTGACGACGGACCGGCCGGTGCGGCGTCGGCGGCGTACGTTTGGGCGGAGCCAGTTTTTGTCATGCTCATCACGTCACGTACTGCAAGTGCACTAGATTATCCTTCCTACAATTATATATTTATTTATTATATATACCTAGCCTGCTGTTTCCAGTTTCCCGTGGATTTGTCTAGGAGTCGTGTCTTTTTTCTGTCTGTGTGTTTAGGATGAGTTAGAACATGAGGTACTCTCGGCATTACTGGAATACGAAATCACACATGTATTGAACCATTTAACACAAAAACATATATATAATCTATTTCCATTAATTACTCGTGTATTTCAATCACACTCTATTTCTAAATGGTTTAAATTAGACGGTTTAAAAGTTTCCATTGTACCAGTAAACTATAGTTCCATACTAAAATTATAAATGTGCCTTGAGACATGCATACAATTGCACAAACACATTTAAATCACATTTAAACACACCATTCAAACTATTTTGAGTAAAATGCACAATTAGTACATAAACTTGACACGTGGAGTGCGCTTAGGTACATCATCTCTCTAAATGTACATATGAATTCAATAACTTGGCGAGGTGGGTGCACAGCTGCTCACTAACGTGGATGAGAGGCGTGTGAGGCTATGGTAATTATCAGATAGCCCCTTAGTCCTTAATTTCATCCCTTATTTAATCCTGGTCAAATCTACGTGAGTTTTTAGAGCTGCATGTGAAAACAATTTTTGGAAAAATAGAAGCTATACAAGAATGTGCTTAGCTTAAATATCTAGCTAAATGTTACGTTGTTGACTAGCCACTGGTGCAGTCTGTGTTAGACTAATCTCGTCAGGAACTTCACCACCTCATCCCCTTGATCTTCCACTTCCTCTGCCACCTCTTCCTCTTGATGTTGCCTTCCCTCTCCCTACATTGGAAGGAAAGCCTGATTCCTGGTTCTCTTGACCATGCCCTCTACCGCCTTTTCTTCCTCTGCTACCTCTAGTTGTGGCCCTTCCAACTCTAGTTGCAGTTGTATGCATTGTGGGAGGTGGTATGTCCTCTCTATGGGCAACAACAAATGCAGATTCATATGGTAATGGCACATTCTCCTGAACATAAGCTTGGTGCTCCATTTCCTTAAAAAACAAATACATCAGTAAATAAAGTAAAACATTGTGTTCTTATTTCTAGTATCTTTTGTAGGATCATTGTATCCTTGTACCTCCAGCATTATTTCCTACATACCTCCAGCATTATTTCCTACATAATAATGCAAGTCGTATAACATCTACAAGAAGAGGAACAAGAGTAATTAATAAGTAAAAGTAAGTACCCTAAGAATATTTTGATCATCATAGTGGGCGTCGTCCTCAGGTTCTAAAGCATATCCTTTTCTTTTCTTAATAGCTGATGGTGGGATTCCAAGTTTTTGTCTAATGCAACTCTTTTTAGTGTGATCTGGACCACCACAGTATGTACAGTGCATGGTAACGCCATGTTTGCTTAGCTTTGATCCACCCTCAAGCTCAATTGGATGCTTCTTTCTGTTCCTTGTTGGTGGTCTGCCCACCTTTTTTCATATTTAGGTGGCAATATGGTAACTCCAGGTACTAGTTCCCATCTTGTCTTGTCCCTAACAGGCATCACATTGCTGCCATATGCCTGCAAAAATGTGTCACGGTGATAACATGAGGCAACCATTGACTCAGGTTGGATCCTCTATGATCTAAAGCAAGCTATGCCGTGACCGCAAGGAATTCCAGATAGCTGCCATTGCCTACAGTCACACGTCCTTCCATTAATGTCCACAATGTATGTGTGTTCTCTATCACCAACACTTAAAATTCTTCTCCTAGCAGGTAGTATCTCAAAGCACTTATTAGCAAAATCTGCATTTTTCTACAAACTTTTCTTTATCTTTGGACATATGGTGCCATTCCACTTCTCTTGTGCTTCCTTTTGCTTTGTGTATATCCTGTTCATCAATTGGCCGCACATAATCTTCTCAATCATACTCAGTATTGGTACCTCCCTTGCTTCCAAAATATATCTGATGCAAATTGTAAAGAAATGTTTCAATGCAATTATAAAGAGTTCAATTATAAAGATATATCTGAGCACTTGTACAAAATATATAAAAAACTTGTTGAAAACTTCACAGCTATTGTTCAATAATATGTCACACTTAGGGAATTCATGGAAATATGCCTTGACCCATGTCCTTGGATCAAGTTGCTCTAACCATGCATGTGCACTTGGGCTATCTGCTTTCAGCTTCTCCATGTTCTCATTAAAATGAGGGACATGAGTGGACCTGGTGCATGCCCATAGTCTATTCTTCAAGCCTTCTCCCTTGTGTGACCCATGAAAATTTTGATATAAGTGTCTAACATAAAATCTATGTTCTGCATCAGGAAAGACCGTGCCAACAGCATTAATCAACCCCTACATGTCACAAACATAAGTGACATGACACACATAATCTTAAGACCAACTTACATTGTATAACAAAGACACTTACCTTTTGTTTGTCTCTCATGATTGTATATGGCGTTGTATTTGCAATGTGGAGGTCATTTTTAAGTGTTGTTAAAAACCACTCCCAAGTCATTGTGGACTCTGTCTCTACTACAGCCATCGCAATAGGGAAGATGTAGTCATTGGGGTCAATGCCAACCGCTGACAGTAGTTGCCCACCATATTTGGTCTTTATGTGGCATCCATCAAAATAGATAATGGGACGACAACCTTTCAAGAAACCCCTCTTACATGCATCCAAAGCAAAGTATAGTGTACTAAACATCCCATCAACTTTCATAGTTATGTAGAAGGTGCTTCCTGGATTGGTATTCCTTAATTCTTGTCCATATGCTCTAAGTTGGTTGAATTGCTTATCCTCATCTCCATGAATTTTCTTTAGTGCCATCCATCGTGCCTCTACCAAGTTTATGTCTTGACGGAAACATCTTGAGCTCTCTCTGCACTATCTTAGAGAAGGCCTTAAGAGACATCTTCTCATCATCATGGAAGAACTCCAAATATTTTTTGGCTAAGTATTTTGCCGTCATGTCTTTAACATCCCAATGGCTCTCACAAGTGTGAGTATCATTATAATTCTTCACTAGAAAGCATTTAGCCTTGCTATCATATCCACATTTCATCATCCATGGACAGCCTTGAGCATAGGATGCCCATACTCTCATACAGTCATTTCGGTCTTTCATAATTGGAACTTTTTCCTTGATGCTATACTCTATATTTGCTCTCCTAACTTCTTCTATAGTAGCAAAAATCATACCAACCTTGAACTTTGGTTCAGCAATGTCGACTTCACTATTAAATACTTGAAAGTTGAATTTAATCTTTTCTTCTTCATTATCTGAATTTGGCATTTCTAGTTCCTCACACATGTCAAAGTCCTTCTCCACCTCTTCCATATTCACTTTCTTGCCTTTATATTGCACCATGCCATCCTCCACATTAGAGTCAACATTGTCCTCAAATAAGTCATCATCATCTTGCCCAAACTCATTGTCACTGTCCGCAAAATTTCCATCAATTTCAGAACCTGAAGCATTATCATCAGAATCAAACCCATTGCAATCTGCATTATTAGTCAAACTCTTTGGCACATCGTCATAAAATTTGGTTAAATTATCCTCTTCATTACTCTCAATGGATACTACGTTCTTGGGGCTGATAAGTGGGAGAGGATGATCACTCGTGCCATAAACATTGACATCATCCATTTGTTGCCTTTGCTTCGCTATAAAGTTTGAGTGATCAATATAAATTCTCAAATTTTTGTGGTGTGCTGATACATTGATCATCCTAATAGTATCTGCATCACATGTCAGTGGAAGCAAACACTCTGCAACAGTATACTCTGGAAGACACCAATACCAACTGACTGGTATGTGCTCTGCATAGCCTAACTCTTTTAGAATGTCCAGCAAAAATAGCAGCGACCATTCCTCAGCATCACAACCATCAAACTAGTCGACCTTTTCATCAACATACACCCTGTTCCTTGCAAGCCCACAGAAAAATCCCCCATGGTGTACTTCTACACTAAAAAGTGATGAATTGCCTACAGTCCAATGACATAAACATTATCGATACCATACCCCCGGGTATCCCAACTTCCATATTGCCGACTACCGACTTCGGATCAGATACGACCCGAAGGCCCACGACGACCCTATTCAAGGAAGGATATCTCCAGATGGCGCCAGGACTCTGACTAGGGCACGACTCCTTAGCTTATAGGGCAAGTTGATCCCGGATATAAATAGCTAGCAATATCCCTTGTTGTAATCATCGACTCTTTCATAGGCATTGCTACATTGTAACAGTAATCTCACCGAATACAAGCAATACAAGAGTAGCAACTGGACGTAAGGCTTTTACTCGCTTCCTGAGGGCCCGAACCAGTATAAATCTCATCTTCATCTATGATTGTTCTTCGCACCAAGCGGGGTTCCCCAAGAACCAAATATCTGTCGGTAAAAAACACCGACAAAGGTGCTAGGTAGGGGGGTCTTGCACGAAGACCGATCATCAACAAGGTTTGGTACCTAGATCCGGTGCGTTCCGACGCCACTATATCACCATCCTCCATGAGATCTGCGATTATGGACGATTATTACTCATACTCACAGATTAATTCTTCATCCCATGATGTGTCACCAACTATCCACTTCAGAAGTCTGGTATTCGAGCACCAGGGAGATTTCAATCTGAGGTTGACAGGGATCGATGATCCTCATCTAACCCATGCTGGCCGTGAAGTTTTCACCTCGTTCAGTTAGATCCCAGAGGATCTAGCTAATTCTACTGCTCATCTCGATCTTGACTACGATGGCTGAGACAAAGAGGTTGAGATTGATCCTTATGAAAGCCGTAAGATCTACATGACTACACGGGATAACACGCAAGAAACAACTAAGGCTGGGTCATCAGCATCATGACCACCACCCCATCTCAGCAACGTTCCAACGCTCAACACAGTTCCAG